TGCATCGTTATTTTCCTAGCCATAGTTGTCTATTACTTGTACCAGCACAAATTACAGGAATTCTAAAGTTCTTTAGCAAAATAGGGGAGAATTCATTTTTAAAAACAAATGGTTCCTCAGCGTAATCACAATTCAGCATAAGTATCATAGTGATGATATCCTCTCTCATCAGGTTTCTAGGCTGAACTGAACGGATTTACAATACCTCCAAAGTAAGACAAAAACACAAAATCGTTTTACTCCACATCATCCTATTATTTTGCTCGCCACTTGACAAGCCACAGTTAAATGTAAAAAGCTACTTCGGTGTCCCGCCTCAGCCTAAAAAAGAAAATATTTTGCACTGCTGTATCCATACTAGATTGTTTTCACTATTCGGTCAGATAGTGAAAATAACTCAGTTACGCGGACACCAGTGAGTCTTTGAGGCCTAGTGATGGCGTCAAGCTGATGGAAAAAACTTGATGAGGCACTGAAGTATTGTGACTGACTAGCTGTTGCCTAGGGACAATTACTCGAGGCCAGGTTCCAGGCGGTATGAGACGAGTGGAAAAAAGTGACCGCAGTAAGTTGTATAGATTAGGCCATAACAAATTCCATGTTTCCGCTAGTCAGTCTATTTTACCATTCTTGCCATAGCTTGTGGATTTCCTTTCTAATGTTCACAATAAGTGCCACCACTAACATCATTATCTCCAGCATGTCCACCAGCCACATTACCAACACCTCCATCGTAACTGCCGCTACATACACAGCTTTCATCAGCATCACTATGATTATGAGTGACGCCACGTCCTCTTCGATCGGTGCCTATGCCAACCATGGTGTCGGAGCTCCCTCGTGGCCAGACAACATTAACTCTGTAGAGTTGTCCTGGCCCTCCGGAGGTGTAGCAGCTTGGCCTGTTTTGAAGGCTGGGCAGATGTTCCGAGTGACACTTACGCAGCTGAGGAGAGGTTGGAGGACGAAAGTTCTCTGCCCTACTCAACTGCAGCAGCAAGTTGAACCAAAGCAAAATAATACAAATTTGGTTGGATAAGAATTATGAAATAGAAGGTGGAAGGAAGTTTCGGATTTCAGAAATCAGAGAACAATGCTTTAAAGAGGGAATTGTCATTCTGATAGTGTATTTTATAGAAAAAGTGATAAACTCACCCATGACGATAGCATGCCCACTCCTTTCGGAATATTCTCCTTTCTGAAGCTAATCAAATATGAGTGCCTAAAGAGATTTCGATTATCAAATAAGAAATGGCCCGATTTAAGTGATAAAAGAGAAACAACGTCTTAGAAGATATAAAGTCCAAGATGATGTGGCTTTTGGTATGGTCGCGGTCTCCTTTCGTTGTATAAAAGTTGTTTTACCTTGTTTTCACGACTTGGACATATTGCCAGGAAGATCAAGAGGGAAGTATCTTGTCTCGAGTCCATAGGATTCATGATAATTTACAGAGTAGGACCATGGACGTGACAGATTCCCAAGCGTTTCGTCGGCATCGTCAGTGAGCCTTGCCATTCTTAGCACCATGCCGCAACTCTTCAAAGAGATAAGTTATTTTTTCTACTAATCCGAAAGCCGCCAAATTTTATACCAGACTGAGAATTTTTAGGAGATTAGTTACTTATAATTTCCGCTAAAGGTAGAGAGATTTCTAATACTATAGGCACTTGAGAAAGAATTATAAGAGTTAAAGAGAAGTAAGGGCTGGATTATGGATAGGGTGAGTAAGTTGGTGTGGGATGCTGAGAAGAAACGGGCTAGTGCAAAGGAGTGACTGATATTTAATATGATCGCAAAGATAAATAATGAAATAAGTGTCAGATATAAAATGTGGTTACCTTTGATACGTTTTGCTATATAAGGAAAAAGGGACTTATCCCATGCCCATTGAGAGCCCTTAGTGTTAGTGATCTAATGAAAGCGATCTCCATACTGAAATCAGCTGGAGGAGTCTCTGAAAATGTTACTTATTCTCCAAGGTATGTTTACAGTCCAGCTAATTTACAGTTTCCAGCTTGTATGTTCCTCGTCCACTTTATGACCAGTATCAGACAGAAGTTTTATAATCGCCTCTTACGAGCACTTATTACTAAATAATAGGTTGCTTAAACCATAGACAAACCCTCTCTTATCAGGATCCCATGTGGTT